TCTTGTAGCTCAGAGAAACCAAAGAGTTATGTTTATTTTTAAGATTATTTAATTAGTCCTGGAGATATTACTTTCTTATTATTAACTTGATAATCATTATCTTGTGACCCCCGTTGGGCCCAAAGTCCCAGGTTGGGAACCACTGTCAAGGAGACATACAAGTTATATCTGCTGCAATGTTGATAGCTAAACCACCTGTGGGCAACGAAGGTTACAGATGCTGTGCTTTCACTACAGCTGTATTTTGTGTTTATTAGAAGTTATATTTAATACCTGTAACTCAAATAAAATAGGTTTCCCATGGCCTCTCCATATTCCCCCCTGTAGACATATAAAACAAAGCTCCTACATTCATCTCTGAAGTTACCGGGAGGCTAGAGGGCAAATGACATCATGTCATGTACTACGAGCCAAAGTGTCTGGAGTCTCGTCCTCCAACGTTGTTTCAAATGAAAAATATTGAGGTCACAATATCGTGGGAAAATTAGCACACAGGAAATTCCATCAGACTTTGCTGCAGATACGACATGGTGACTTTTACTTTCTCTCCCTCTAAGACTTTCCATGCAGAATGTGGGGGCCACTGAGGCCCAGTTTCCCTGAACAGAGTGAGTAATAGCGCTGCATGATTAGTCTCGCAGACGGGCACATTCTTGTCCACTGACATCCCACACATGGGCACCTAATTTAAAACCAAGCATGCACACACTGACAAAGTGCCAGGGATGTGGTTACAAGACATGAAGTGTCATTTTAGGTCATAAAAGCTTGTTTTGTCCAGCACAAATCTGTCAATGGGTTGAGATGATTCAGCTTGTTCCCAGTATTATTTTTTTTGTTTCAAGAATCTTATCTTAAAACAATACAGAATATCATTTGAATGAAGTTATTTAAAATCATAATATATATATGTTAATTCTCACTGTTTATATTTGCGTGCATCACATTCGGGTCTATTACACATTGTAAATAACAAAAGTAAAAAAATAGCAAAGAAATAAACTGTTGTACATAAATCCAAAATATCCCAGTCAAGTATTACTGAATAGCACCAGAGATACTAATGCAATAATATAAATTACAATGTATTTTTTGTGCTGATAATTTCTAGTGGGTACATCATGTATGAGTACCAGCTGTCCTATTGTTCATAGAAAATCCATATATATTATTCTTAAGGAGCTAAAGAGATAATTAGGATTAAAGAAAACTCTTTTACAAGTGTCCTGGCTTAGACAGGTATTCAACATAATACGGTTATAAGTAAGCAGACCAAAACCAGCCTTATAAAGAAGAATTTACCAATGGTTGAGTCTGCAATTGGAAAACACAATCAAACACAAGCATACAAAAAACAATGGTGTGTAAGGGCTTTCAGATTTGCAATTTATAGATATTTACGTGGATTCACATTTTTGTAAGACTTTTAACTCATACTTATTCCTTCAATGTTGACGTAACAACTTTATTTGAGAAGAAGGTTCAAATGAATGTCATTCATAGAAGAGTGCTGCTGTTTGGACCCACTTGAGCTCCAAAAGTACTAGATGGTACCGCTGGTCTGACAAATAAAGCGGTTTAAAGTTGAAGAGCTGCTGAAATGTGGACCTCTTGAGTTGTCCAATTTCCTCTCTCCATGCACCTTGAAAGTAGGTGAAGCTCTGCCAGAAATCCCAGCTCTGCTTCTACAATACAGCAGGCTGCACCCCAGAATATGACACCTCTATTAACGATGACACACTATTTGTCAAGAAAAGCATTTCTCAAATCGATATTTCACAATGCGAAAATAAAATCATCAAGTCATAGTTTACTCAGGGTGGGATGATGTGATATAACTGACTCACACAATAACATCTCCGCAGGACAGTTATCTTAATGACATCTGGAGCGATATAGCACTTTTTTATCGTTTTATTATTGTGTTTCCCAACCTTTATTTGCCAAGGGAAGGTGGACTGAGCATATTTTCCTACTCTGCAACACACAGCCACTCCTGGGAGCAGATAAGTGTGACTGTCCTCTGCTGATGGTTGGTTTACGAGCCCCATGACAGCGGGTGGTGTTTGGAAAGGCTGTCTTGATGGCACCTCAGGGTCCCTTCAGGGAGAGGAAACAAATATTAGCTTTCCCAGCACAGATTTTCCCAGCTGTTCTAGGGAGTTGGACCAGGACCCCATGTGTCAGTCTTGTCCAGAATGAGTGCTTGTTTTGGCATCTTCCAAGGACAGAACAAAATGATTTGCCAGTTTCGGAACATTGACAGTTATCTTTCACTTTCTTCAAATATCTTTCACTTTCTGCTTGTTCTGGCACCATCTGAAGAGAGAACCAAAGGTTTCGCCATCAGTTTTGAAACAATGTCAGTTTGCGATATCTTTCACTGTCTTTGAATATGTTTCACTTTCCCTTGACAGCAGCTGTACTAAGGATACAATCGACCCAAAAGAGCAGTTTTAGTTGAACTATTACAACATTAACTAAAACCAAATCCTATATCCAAGATTAAAATTACCTATAAAGAAAGTATTTAAAAACGTTCAAAGTAGAAGTGTTCAGTTCTTGTACAAATGAATAATTACCACTGAATTCTTAAGCCAAACACTTTCATTATTTTGTGACTGAATCGGAGGCTTTGTGTTTTGGAGCTTACCTTCATTACACAGTATGTTACTGCCTGGCTGGAAGCTTGATGTAAGGCCACAAAAGCCACACAAAGATAATGAGTTAACTTTGGTGTTGATTGGTGGGTTTCTTTTGCTTCGCAGAATTTTAACAATGTTTACATCTGCCTAGTTTTGTAGTGAACAGATTGAATAAAGTTCAAATCAGCAACAGACTAAACTTAGATCTAAAAACAGTCACTAACGGCTATATATTTCAGAAAAAACAATGTTAAAGGAAAAGTTTACCTTAGCTTGGCACACATACTGGAAACAGCTATCCTAGCTCTGCCTTAATGTTACACATCTTTGGATAAATCCATACAATAACAATGTGTAAAAAGTAACGTTTGGGATGTTGGGGTTATGTTCCGGATTATTTCGTATTTGGGACCAGTAACGTGTTGGAGTCTTTGCTGATTGCATGGCGACTTGTCATGGTTACTACATGAGCTCTGTGCAGTTCATCTTGGCACACAGACACGACAATATTTCGATTTCGAGTATTACATCTTGTCACAATCGTGACAGCTTGTGGCAGTAGGGAATCTCCGACAAGCAAAATAGTCCTCTTTCATCAGCCAAGTCAATTTGTATGCCCATGTCCCTAAATCACAAATGTCTCTCGCAGGCCTTCACAAAGACGACACCAATCTTTAGATTTTGAGTAAGATAAGGATAAAATCAACTGAAGGGCCTTGCATGTCAGTGAAAGCCAGAATATTTATTCCGTGCAACCCCCCGCTGCGTATCAAATCTCCAGCCTTGGCATTTGTAGAGCCAAACGTATATGGTGTGTTAGTGCACATTGTGCTGTATTTAACACAGTGTAATGAATTCATTCAAGCTATGAAAGTATGGGGCACAAAGGCACTGGCAGACTGTAATTTAATAGGGTATGTGCCAGCTTGAAGCTCAATTACAGAATGTGTCACCAGCGGAGGCCTGCGGGAGCTGAAGGGGGCTGGAAAGCTCTCCAAAGGCCACAACTCAGATACAAGCAGACTGCTGAGTCTTGGTGGTGGGCTTCGGATGACATTTTCTCATCACTGTGAGATGAATTGCGGCGTATTAAAGTGCTGTTGAGAGAGGTTGAAAAGATGCAACCTTTGGGTGAGACAGAGAGTTGTATGTGTGCTAAACAGCAGAATCAGGTTTTCTCTAGATGCAGTTTCAGAAGTCCACAATCCTTATATTAGAAAGCCATTATTTCATACTCCAAGACTTTGCTAACTTGGTCATTTCCTTTTTGTAAAATATGATTCTAGATATATGATATGCATACCTTGATATTTGAAAAGATGATAAGGAGAAGACTAATAGATGAGAGCAGCAATACATCACTGTAGTGACAAAATGAAAGCCCCGCCCCAGGAGATCAATATCAATGGGATCGTTCAGTTAAAACGTGGACGTCTATCGGAAACACTTCCTCACATTATAATGCTAATCAGGTTAACATTCTTCAAAGTATCTTCAAATCAATCTTCAAAGTAAACATTCTTAACTTTAAAAGTCAAAGTATCATCATCATATCATCATATCATCATCATATCAAACATTCTTAACGTTAAAAGTCAAAGTATTGGCTGTGGATGCTGAATTTAAATATAAAACACTGACAAGACAAGGCAATACCAGTTTAAATGTTAGCCTGCTGCCTGACACTCATCCACCGGCATGCAGACTGGCATAGAAAAATAGCTTTAATTTAACTATTTATCGACGCTGATGATCGATCTCCGATGCCATCATGTAATCTTTTCTAGCCATCATATTTAGGCCCCTTGTAGATAAAAACATACAGTTATCTTTTTTTTTTACTTGATTAGCGAAAACCACTAGTCAAATGATAGCAAATGTTTTCACCCAAAAGGGGGCGTGGCTATGACATTGAGCTAAAGTACTCCAATGGATTGCTCATGTTTTGCCAACTTGAACTGTTATGCTAAAATCTATTTATAGTGAAATATTACGTGATTTGAATAACCTATTTGACTGCAAATAAACAATATCTATAATAATTGTGAAATAGAAAGAGGGGTGGGGAGGTACGTCTGGGAGGGAGCTCTTTGCCTTAATTTCCTTATTCTGTATTTACATGATTTGTATAATAAGTATCTGTATGTTTGGGCCATCCTGTGAAGATGGCTTGAAAATGAAAAAATAACAAAGACGTGTTTACTGGAAACATGATAATGTAATTCCTTGGTAAACGTTAATGATTCAAGTGAAATCAGAGACTACTGGGAATTTCCGTTTCATTCGCCCAAAGACTGTCATAGTGTTATCAAACGGAAGTACGCACCCACTCACAACTTCAGCCCTACAACTTGATGAAGTTTTCCTCCAACTTTACATTCAGCGCGGACCAGCCCCCAGATCAACAGCATGGCTCCATGCAACAAGTGGTGGATTTTGTGCGCAGTTTTGGTTTCCTGTGTCGCCCGTTTTGGGTCCTGCAGAAGACATAAAGCCGGTAAGAGGATAACCAATATAGATAAATGTGTTTAGAATGTTATTTTATTGTTTTCAGCGAGGTTACAGTTGGTCTGGGCGTTTTAAGGCAGCGCATGGGGAAGTTGTTGACAACAAAGTGGTGCGTAAAGTGGAGCTGAGTTTTTACATATTCACACTTTTATATATCCGGGTTTCAGTGTGTTCTTGTTTGGACTTTGCGTATAGGTTGTTTCCTTGTAGTGCGTTTTATTATACATATTATATTAATTTTATATTAATCGTTTTGTTCAAATATATGCCTTTCAAAATAAAAGCGCAAACGCACTTCGAAACGGAATATGTGCACCCCAAATGACTCGTTGCACTGCAAAATTATAATAAAGGCGACACTTCACGCCATTGTCAGTTAAACCCAAGGAGTGATAAATCATTGTGTGTAATACCACACACACTTTTAACACATTGTTTATTTGCTAACCAATGTTGTGACTGAAATCCTGCACCCTTTCAACGCACCACTGAGTTTGTTTTGTTGTGTTGGAGTCCTTTAAAGTCCTTATTAGTGAGAGGAGAGATGTGTGGCGTCAGGCAGGGCCAAAGTCCACTATTACAGCACTTCTTAGACCGGCCACGACCCACACCTGAACGCACCTCCTCCCGTCATGTTGCAACAGCAGCCTTGCACGCGGTAATGAGACAGCTGGGACTGGATTTCTGATACTGAGAAAAAGTGAAGGCAGGGTCTAAAGTGGAAAAGAAACTCCTAATACGGCTCCATCCCTGAGAGAAAAATACTGAGCTGGAACTAATAACTACACAGTATCATTAATGAAGTCTAGATTCTGGCTGAGGGCCACCGAGGAGGTTTGGTGCTGAACTCCACTGTTGGCTTTAATGCCAATGTATGCCTTTTCTTATCTCTCCATGACATACAGCTGGTTATATGCATCACTTCCCCGTATGGAAACATATTTTCAGTCCATGAACAGAGTTAGCAGCAGAGCATGAAGGCTGAGAACATTCTTATGAAAGAAAATGTGACATTTTGTTGCAGAAACTAGTATTTTTTAAAACCCTTACAAAAGTCGATTCCTATTTTTATGTAAAACTACCTTACTTCTTACAAATATTTGTTTAAATGATTTAATTGACAGTCTGCCAGAAATATTATGTTTTTGATGATGCATTTAAGTTTGGATTGCCAGGGCCGGATTAAGTCTTTTGGGGGGCCTTGGGGCAAATATGAAGTATGTCCCATTTGACCTTCCTAGTATTCGCACTATCTTTGCATTGTGTATGTATCCTGTTGTTTTAGTACCAATATGGCTCTGCAGACAACATACAACTTTTTTTTAATATTTGGTCCAAAGTACCAGAAACCAACCACAACTCAAGTAACCATATTTAATACCCTATTATTAAAAATAATTGACTTACTCCATCACGACATCAGACCATGCCAAGCCTTAGTGTATGTGTTTAAGATGTCTATAAAGGGACATCTAAACGAGATTATGAGCAGTGAAGGCAATTTTAGTGTGAAGTTTTGAAAACACACCGTTCTGGTCAGTAGTCAGTCAGCTGCTGAATTCTGAACAAATTCAGTATTCTATTGCTCGACTGCTAAACCAAGTAAACATTGCAATAATTGCGGCAGGAGGATATGAGGCATGTATAATTATCTTTTTGAATAATTAAAAGATTAGATTTAATTTGGGAGATTATCCTCAGCTGATGACAGCACGACTGGGCAATTTGCCTCAGGCTCAGTCAAAAACAACATCCAGATATTTCTGGGGCTGAATCTGTGTTCTGACTAAGGGGCTGTTTTGGGTTGTAAATGAGTTCAGGACCGATGATCAGGACCTCTGATTTAGTGACATGTTAAAACGTCTTGTCATTTCGATTTACACAGTCAAACAGTGAACCCAGGTTGCCATTGTCAATAGTTTTCATAAGACATATAACTGTCACTCGCCTTCCTAATGATGTGTAACCTGTTGGTCATGCATTTCTTACATAGCCCTTTGTTCATACTGTGGCCATTGTTGTATCATTGTTGTGTTTTGAGGAATAATAATGCATGATCATTTTACTCCATCACATGGTTTGGAATCAGTATCCTAAATGGTTACATAACAGTGAAACTGAACACATTATAGCCCAACCAATAGTGTTTTTTTGGCTGATATCAATAGTTGTGAGTTTTATAAATCTGATCTAAATAAACAGATATCAAATATGTTGGCAACGTGACAAGTTGTTGGCATTGGAAGCGTTATGGTTTGAAGGGAAGCAAAATGACAGAAGGCCAAGATAAAATTGTGGGACAAGAAATGTTCCATGAAATTCTTATTTACTAAATGAACTTGGCACAAGGCTTGAGAGCTAATTATTTAAAATAGTCCATGTTATCCTCCAAATGCTAGAATCTTTAGTGAATGACACATTTTATTGCTTTTATAAGCATTTTTCATGATCTATGTATTTTCCTAAAAAAAAAATGTTTCTGTTAATTAGAAATTGAGTAGTTTTGCAGATAGATGAACTTTAGTACACCTTGAAATAATGATGACTATTAAATGGGGCAACAGCGTAATAATATTGTATTTCAATAATAAGAACATGTTTTGCATAATACATTGTATCTCATCTTAATATATATGAATTTAAATTAGTTTGAGCTTTATTCATTACATGATTGAATATTCCCCTAGCCTTTCCTTCAACAAGCATTTAACATGTTTTGCAATTAAAAGGCTCAGTTCCCCACAAGCCGTTAGCAGACCTTTATTGATGGTGTACATTAGCAAACGACACACGTTAAGCGTTTTAACCTTAAAGCACATGAGCACAAATGTGCAAAGTGTTTAATATTCCAAAACAAAAATGTTAGCCTGCAGGCAGTATAACAAAATACATTACCATTTGGTGATTATACTTGGTATCCATCAGAGATATGAGAATACACGGCAATGGTAAATACAGAGAGGCGATGTTAGCTCCTTACATTACAGGGGCTTTGTTTATAGGGGAACATTAGCTTTTACTAATTGCTGTAGGTGCTCGTGAGAGGTGAAACAATAGGAAGCACCCTATGAAACTCAGCATCAGGATCATTGGTGCATGGTGATAGCAGTTTCACTCATCGTCTCACGGAGGGGTAAACACTGTGACTCATTCATTTGTGCAGACATTTAATTAGACCCTCACTTGCTGTTTGAAGTGGTCCTTTTATTAGGGAGCCTTAGGCCATAGACTGAGAGAAACGGCGTAGCATTTTAATTAGCATTTGCTATAAGAAGTAGCTCTCAAAAAAGCGCCTGCCTAAATTGTCACTTAAAACAGTCCGTTAGATGACCACACCTGTTACTGGAAAGTGTACACACTTCTTGCCACTTATGTGTGGCCTAAAGTTTTCTTTCTTTTTTATGCGAAAGTGTGGGTTATGTTATGTCTGTTCTCTGCACCCACACACACGTTCTATTTGAGCTAAGTCTCTGCTTCCAACTCATGCTATTTGAGTTCAATTCAATGTTGTGTCAACACAAACATTTCAATCTCATGCTATTTGCATGGCTCGGCTTCTTTAAAACGTAAAGCGGCTCCCTTAAAACTTGAGACTTTACTCTAAGGTAGTCCATCAATACCGTGATACTTTTTCAATTCGACATGTTCGATATGAATAATTTACATCATATCGGCAGCAAATCTGGATCAGCTCCATTGTACCTCCGTTTTTAGAGATTTGGATACGGAGGAAAAGAGAGAGGGTTTTATTTTCTGACACTTTGTGAGTTCCCTGGCACACCGGGGACACATATCTATGTATAAAAGACACCAAAAAGTGCATTTTGCATGATAGGACACCTTTAAAGGTCCCATGTCATGGCCATTTCTACTGATCATAATTCCATTGTTGAGGTCTACTAGAATAGATTTATATTGTGCAATTTTCCAAACTCACATTGGTTTCTCATACAGCATCTCTGTATAGTGTGTGTATTCACTCTGTCCTAAACGGCTTGTTGGAGCTTCTGCCCCCCCCCCTCCCTGTGAGCCCAGTGGCCGTCTGCGAGACACAGCGAAACCCAGCACGAACACACACACACGCAGCCTGGCTGGGAGTTTGTGTGTGTGCTCACACACCGACTCACAGCCTCGCCGCGTCCCGCCGTCTCAGGGAGGAGAAATTGGCGGAGCTGCAGCTGAGAAAAGATTGAGTGTGTGTGTGTGAGGAAGTACTTAACGTAACGGCTCCACGGATTGGTCCATTTGGACCAATGGGTCCATTTGGGCATGGGCACGTCACCATACCCAGGAAGAAAACAATGGAAAAAGATAAATCTCCAACGAGGCGTTCTGGGGCAGCATAGACAGGTCTTTTCTGTGTTAGAGTTGTACTCGCTACAGGATGTACTTTGAGGGTTTGTGACTCTGCAGACCCTTTACATGCAGAAAAAGCATCATAACACACAAGGGGACGGGTAATAACCAGAAAAGCATGACATGGGACTTTTAAGACTTCAACCATGACTTTGACCTTTGTCTTGAAGACTCTAGACTTGACTGCTCCCTGAGGGCTTAAGATGTGAATTGGTCTTGATCCAAAAAACTCTCAACAGGTCTGCATTTCATCTCTTGAAGGCTGGGATGTGGCGTGTAGACTTGATTTCAAGGAATAGTCCCAGCATATCTGTTTCTGACAGAAATCAAAATAAGTCTGTTTTTCGTGTTGTAGTAGGTTGTATGGTATTTTAAAGATGGTCAGTAGTGTAAAATAAGTCATCTTTGTTGCCCAAAGCACATTTTGTTTCTTTTTAGACATTTCATTACTGCCCTCATCATTACTGCCTTGTACGTTACCAATAATCTCTGTATGTGATGTTGTTTTGAAATGGAATGCAGACGTTATTGATTGCCATTGCACATGTGGCCTGGCATTGACATTCCCATTTTGCTCCAAACACAGCCCCATGGCAGGTTAATGTACCTCTCAGGGGCAAAGGGTTAATTTAT